AGTGATGGAGATACTTTTTAATAGTGGAGTCCTACAACCCTAATAAAACTTTCTATATACTTCTTTTTTGTTTATTCATAGTAGTTTTGTTTTCTTTAAAAAGTACTTTAAACTGTATAAATAATGTAAAATTAAATTGATTTAAACAGCCAATCATACGAAAGTCTTCTTATGAAATATGAGCTATAAAATTTGAGATATTAATTTTTTTAAAATGCCAATTTGCCTTATTTCTATTAATGGCAGCCAATTATTAATTATTAAATATTTATATTAAATATAGGGGGCCATTTATTTTAAATCACTGTTTAAAGTTGGGATTTTTGGCATATGTGAAGAAGCGTTTCCACGACAAGTATTTAATTTAATTTTTTTTTTTTTTAAATTTTAATAAGTTTATTTTAATATCGATATTAAAATATATCTATAGGTAAATTATTTAATACCTGAAGATCAAAGTGTCGGAAAAGGTGCTGATGTTGTAGTTTCATTGGTTCACAATTATTTTTGTTTACATGGACTTGGTGAAAAGTGTGTAACAATCCATGCTGATAACTGCCCTGGGCAGAATAAAAATAATATAGTAATTAGATATCTAGCTTGGCAAATTATAAATAGACTGCATGAAAAAATCACCTACTCATTTATGGTTGCAGGGCACACCAAGTTTAGCCCTGATGGATTTTTTGGGCTTTTTAAGCTCAAATTACGTAATTCAGAGGTAGATGACCTGGATGATCTTGTTCAGGTTGTTAATAATTCTACAGTAGGTGGATATAATATTGCACAAACTCTTAGTAAACCAGATCATTCAGTACAGGTTAAGTTTTATCAATGGTCCAAGTTTTTAAATACCTATTTTTTGACAATTCCACAAATCCTTCAACAATATCATTTTATATTAAGCCACAACTCTCTAGGAAAAGTTGAAATCAAATCAGCAATTAATAGTAACAAAGTAACAGTAAATTTGCTTCATACAAATGCTAAATTACCTATGAATCATGAATTTCCTGATGAAATAATTTCATCTGGCTTAAGCTTAGAACGTCAGTGGTATCTATATGAAGAGGTAAGGCAGCATATTCAAAATCAATCTAAATGCGATGCTTATTGTCCAAAACCACAACAACCTAAACCAAAAAAGCAACATAAAAAATAACAATTTTAGTTATATATAAATTTTGCCGTCATAGCTTATAGTCAAATAGATAGATATTTCTTTAAAGAAAGAAGTCATGATAGAGTATTGTGATTATAGCATAGCATTTGAGATGCTAAAAAATTAGAAATATTTCATATTAGATATTGCGATATAAAGCTATTGGAAGTATTCGATTATAAAATCAGCACTTTAAAGATGTTAATTTCAGGCTGGGTATATTAACTAAATACAAATTTTGAAAAATCTGGCTTATTATTACAACAACTAAAACTTTATTCAATGAATCAAGAAATTGGGAATAAATCGTTATTACTAAAAACACTTAAGTTCTCTGCTCAAATATTACTTTTTGTTAATAATTTCATACTATGGATATTACGGTGCATCTATAGCACACTGGAAGAAGAACTAAGTTATGAGTTATACATTGCAATATCTTAACTTAGAGAATATTCTAATATATTGATATTTTGCTCAAAATATTGCAATGCACCTTTAAAAAAAAACTATTACGGTAATTTATTAACTTGATAACGAGAAAAATTCTAAATCGCTAATCAAATTCTGCATGCAAAACAGAACTTTGAATTATCTGAGTGTATTGTGATATTCAGATTTACCATATCAATGTATTGAAGCCACTTACTTGCATTATATACTTGTAACTCAATCACTTTATAAAAGTTTGGATGTATAATTTAGTGGTTCAAATATGAATTAACCAAATATTAAAAACTCTACTACACAAGTCATAATTTTGGATCTAAATAAGAACACAATTTTACAAAAAAAAAAGTATGAATTCAGTTCACATTATAAATAAAGATCAAGTTTGTCTTAGTACAAAAACTATACAGTTTTTTTACATACCATAGTGTCGCAGGTACGTGTTGATCAAATGTCATGATCGAGTGATCATGATTTAATTAAAAGTTAAAGCGATTAGTAATCAATAGATTTAAGGTATCGATCCTAAAGTGGAGATACCAGAAGTTCTTTGACCCGAAATTACCTTTGAAATATTCTTGGTAAATAAACTGTTGTCTGTGTGAATACATTATCGGTGGTAGTATCTGGTACGATACTCCAATCATTGTATATTAATTAGGCGAGTAAAAACTAGGGATGTTAAATGGTCCACGGGGAACTAGTTCGGACCGGGTCTGGACCGGACTTTTTAGGGACTAGTAGGACTAGTTCAGAACAGGTCCAAAACCGGTTCAAATCTCACATGATATGAATAAAGTGTCCTTTTTGACACAATAATAAAATTTAATAAATATGAAATCAAGAACGACATTCTTTAAATAGTGGTACTATAGTAATTCACGTGTTCTAATTTAAAATTCATTGATTGGGTGATCAATGAGGAGTACTTTCGATTGGAGAATTAAATTAGTTAAATACCGATGGCTTTTATTACAGCTTTCCGCTTTCAATCAATAATGGCCTGGTAATGGCCGCCTAGTAATTATGACAGCATTAGTAAGTGCTGATGGCTTTTATTACAGTTTCCTTTCGCTTTTTGATCAATAATTGCTGTAACATTACAATATTAGTAAGTCCCGATGGCTTTTATTCGTTTCTTTTTGCTTTTTGATCAATAATCTTACAGTATTGGTAAGTACCGATGCTTTAGTTTTTTTATTTTTATTTTCGATCAATAATTGGCATAATTACATCAAGTTTTTAGATCAATGATAATCAATTCATGATGGCGTTGAAGTTGGAATTCAAAAGGATGAATATAAAAACATTCATTCATTATTAAAAATTTGAACATATAATGTTGGAACTATCATTTATTTAATCGTTTGAATTATTACATCAGGCTATAACGATATTAGTCTGAATTCCCCTCACGACAATTGTTCTCTACCATGTACTCTTAATTTACAATTTTTTTTATTACAAATACCCCAATAAGTCCATAAAACAATCGCATCAAACCCAAAGATCCTCTCTTTGTGTTGCCTGTGCATGATGCGTATATTACTGATCTTGGGCTTTCAAAAAAAGTAAAAGATGGAAAAGTTTATGGAATTCTACCGTATATAGCGCCTAAGGTTTTGATGGGTTAGCTGTATAAAACAATTGCAGCAAACTCAAAGATTCCTCTTTGTTTTGATAATTGTTTTATTTTTATTTTTTTCTTTTTTGTAAGTATAAAAGTGTTGCTTTAAACGAAAATTTGGTTTCTCAAAATTTCATTAGTCACATCATGTCTTTCAATAAACGCTCACAAAATTTTGCACCTACCTCTAATACACCTTGTCTTGACGACGATTTAGTTGTATTGAGTAATGATATTAATAGTGTAATCAATACCGAAGGATTGGAAAAACAATTCTCCAAGCGTGGTAAAAACGCGCACCCTATCTGGGATTATTTTACACTATCTCGGGATAAAAAATCTATTATTTGTAGCCTGTGTCCCAAAACACAATATAGTATAACCACTGGTATTAGTACAATCAAACGGCATTTCGAAGCCAACCACAAATCTGAATACAATCAATTGCTCCAGGTATCACCTCCGCGAGCTGTTGATCAATATGGTGTTCGTGATGAAAAAAAAGTCAAAAAATTAAACGGACTTCTGGTACGTTGGATAATTTGCAACCAACAGCCTTTTTGCGTTGTCGAAGATGAAGATCTTTGAATGTTTGTTTTTAAACTCGATCCCCGCTATAGGTTTCCTTGTAGACAAACGATCTCGGTCCATGTTTGGCAGCTGTATGAAAGAGAACGTAGGCAACTACGTAATTTTTTTAAAAGTTTTGGATACAAGGTGTCAATTACAACTGATGCATGGTTCTCATGTACAAACCAAGGATTTCTCGCAATCACTTTACATTGAATTGACGATGAATGGCAATTACGTCGTATACTTTTGGACTTCGTCCCCCTCCACGAATGCCATACGAGTATTTTTTTGGCTGATACGATTTTTGAAATAATCGAGGACTTTGGTTTAGAAAGAAAAATTTTGTCAATGACCGCTAACAACGCAAGCAACATGGATGTCTGTGGTGAAAATCTTGCTAGTATGTTAAAATATAACTACGATAA